CCTCAGTTGCTTCCTCAGTACCAGCTTCTGGTGGTTCAGCAGTCCCCACTGGCACCGGGAGCGCAAACCTGGGCGATCGCTCAGCTGACCCGGTAGCATCAGAGGCAGAGTCCTCTTCTGCAGGCAAGTCTGCAGAGGGGTGTCTGGCAGTTGCCAGGTCTCTCCACAAGGGGACTTCAATGCGCAGCCTCAGCTGTAGAAGGGAAGGAAACGAGATAGCTTGTCCTAAAGACGGGTCAAGGGCACCACAAGAGTAAGCTCTTTCAGCCCAGGACGTATCCGGCATTCGGGGGTATCGGTCGTAAGCAATTTCTTTAGTGCGCACTCCCACAACGAGCAGAGGGTTGTCTTCAGCTTCTTCATCTTTGGGTCGGTAGCCGTAGCCCCCTTGCACTTGCGTGGGCGTGAAGCCCTGCCGCTCCATGGCTACAACCAAGTCAGGCAGGGTCTGCACCGGGAGATAGACAAAGAGGTCATTGGTGGGTAGCGTTTGCTCACCATACTCCATTCCCCTAACAAAGGACATGATGACCGTTTGCATAAAGGTGAGGGCATCGACATCTTTTTCTTTTGTTTTCTGTGGCTTCACAGCCACTGCCTGAGCAGTTCCTGCACCCTGGTGCCTGTGTTGATTATCAAAGGAACAGCACCTTGCGATAAAGGAAAGCAGGCCATACTGCCAGAAACGAGGGCTTGCATAAAGGGCTAACTGGTTTTGAGTGATGAAAGGGCACGCTGGGTGTCCACTCTTCACGAAAGTGAAAAGGTTGGCCAGGGGAGCGGCAAAAGCTTCACTTATACGGTGAAGGTCTCCTATGTAGGCTTGGTTGATTTCATTTGGAATGTCCCCAAAGGAGGAGCCATGGAGTGCTTTTTCTGTTACCCGCCTCCAGAGGAATGTACGGACGAGGCGGTTAATTTGCTTGTTGGAGATTGCAAGCCTCGCCATCGGCCATTCCCTAGGCAGGTCACTGTAGATCTGTAGTGAGGGGAGCGGCACACTTTGTCCGTCCGCTTCTCTGGCTGCTCGAGCCGCACTTTGATAGTCGTATAGTGCCTGCATGGCTCGCTGCTCAGATTCCAGCTGGAGATCAGTGGCAGCAGTGCCTCCTCGTTCTGCATGCCCTTGATCACTGGCAATATCAATTTCTGTCATGGCGTATGGGCGCTCTTGCATTGATCCTGGATGGTCAGGTGGTGTCTCGGGGTTCCTGCAAACGGGAGCCTCCTGCCTTTGAGCATTCCGACTGGCGAGGTCTGCCAGTGTGGCCGGTGGTTGTTCGTGTTCAGGGATGCTACCGAGCGGTTGCTTGGATGCTGGAGCAAGTGATTGCCGTAGCTTTTTGGACTGAGCTCTCCCTGCACTAGCCTTAGACCCCGGTCTTCGTTTGATTGGGGACTCAGAGAAGTGCGATGTGGGGCTGTTACCTTGGGGGTCCACGCCCTGCGGGGGCAGCGTACTGCTTACCTCATCTTCTGCTGCCAGCATTTCGTCTTGTGCTGGACGTGTTTCGGGGGAGGCCGGATGATTGCTAAGGCAATCACCCTCATCTGCAGAGGAGGTGGTAGCGCTGTCACCGTCTTCCACGCGCGCGTCGTCTTCCTCCGGCTGCACTGCGCTCGGGATGGTAGGCGTCTCTGAGGAGGAGCTGTGGACAGAGACTGCTTCACTTGCTTCTTCGAGGACAGGGGCTGTCCCGCTTGCACGTCATGTTCCTTCTTTTCTGTGTCACGGTCAGAGACAGAGAGGACATCAGGTGTTGCACTTGGCTGAGGCCAATAACAGCCGTGCACTAAAAGGCCCGGTTGCGGCGGCAGGACGAGTTCAGACCCGGGGGCATCCAGGACTGGCTGCACTCTCCATGCATCATAAAAGTACACTCGGTGCAAGGCTTCGAAGGTGTAGTCTTGTGCACTGCGCTGTTCACCGGTGCATGGCGTTGGTTGATAGCGCAGGGAGCTTCCTACGCTGCACCTTTGCCCTGGGCCAAAGCTATTGTGAAGAAGTCGCCAACGTCCTGGCTGCTGCCCATCGGTTGTGACCAACCACTCCGGCTCAGGCGAAGCATCAACTGCATAACCATAGACGAGGTCATGCAAGACCGTTCCACCAGGTAGGTGGGGCCCTTCTTGCAGGCTAGCAATTTCCGCCTTGGTCAAGTGCGTCAGAGCAGCTGAGACGAGACGTAAGCGCCTCACCTTGCCTTGATGGTATTCTGCGAGACAGACGGGTGGCGGGCCTGACCACAGTGGGTGGGGCAGAAGCGCCTGCTGGAAGACTATCGTGGCTTGCGCAACCTGTGCGGCTGTAAGGTCCAGCGAGCCTCGAATAATGGATTCTTTGTTGTCATGAGTTTTTTCATTTGGACACCATGCAAAAGGGCCGCCAGAACCTGCAGGGCCCCAGGCATCCCTTGCATGTTCAGAGGACAGGCCAGGATGGTGAGGTTGGTGGCTTGGCTGTATGCCACATTTGCTCGTGTGAAGCACTCCTGGTCATAATCCAGGTTGTGCCCTTCTCCACTGAGAAAGGTTGACACCCCGTGAATAACGATGCAGTGTTTGGCCGTGGCACCTGCAACTTTGACTGCAGTTTCTGCATTGGCCTTTTTGCCTGCAATGGTGAAGTAATTACGTAGATTCGTGGCCCCTTCCCGGGTAGTTGTAAGGGCCAAGATGTCGTCGGTGTCGGCTCCTGCTTTGGTAAATTTTTTTCCACGAGTACGGACGCCGTGTGGGCATGGTGCCCAGGTCATCGTTGAAGGAAGGGAAGAAAAGACAGATGGTGGAGAAAGGAACGAAGACCCCAAAAACCAACCCAAAACCAAACACCCAAGCCCGCAGGCCGACTCCACCATCTTGTAGTCTTCCCTATACACTAGGTGAAACGTGTGAAACTGAGACTAGTGACAACTAGTGGGCCTGAATTCGCAAAAGAAGAGGACTGCAGCGCAAGCTGTGTTCATGGAAAGCCGCCTAGAAGGCTTCAAACGGACTTTCCTTACCAAGTGTTGGTGACCAGCGGCCACACCACAGTGTGGCAAAACAAGGTCACTTTGCAGGTCAGGTGTCTCGCAATGCTCCAGCAGTGGTTGTAATCAGGCCAACCGAATGTGCGAAGATCTAAGCAGCAATCCATGGAAAAGACCATACTTGTAGCACAACCCGTTCAACCGGCGGCGCATACAAGGCCAGTCGCATGCTGCCAGACAGAATTCAATTACGGCGGCAATTCCTAGCGAGAGAAGCCTGCAGCTGGGCACCACCTCCCCGTGGGGAGGCAGACCCAACACCCTTCGGCACTCAACGGTGCCGAAAAGGGGATGTCACTTGAGTCTGTGCGGCGCTGTGTAATGGCAAAAGGTGAGAGGTGCGTGCAAGGCCCGTGTGAAACCTGTGAAACATTGAGCTCTCCTAGCATGATATCTGTACCTCTTTGTACAAAATTGGAAATGTCGGACATCAACAGCGGGAACTAAGGTTCCCCCTGGGCATCCTTCATTGCCACTATCTACCACCCGCCGTGTAGGAACGCAGAACTAAGGTTCTCGCTCCTATCGGCTCACTTCGCAGCGGATGGCGAGAAGAGGTCATGGTTCTACTTGGTGTCTGTGCATTTTGCTTGCCATATATGCCTGGAAATCCTCCTTTTCTAATGCTCAAAAACTGGCACTTGGCTCAACTCACTGCTCACGTCGCACTTGCTTCTCTCCTGGCTCTGAAGCATAGCTTCGTTGAGGCTGGGTCTAGATAGTTTGTGTCGCCAAAGGTCGTTTGCGTTATAGGTCATCGAATGCTATGGTGCCGAAAAACTTGCATCTCGGGGCGACCACGACCCGCAGCATTTGACACCTAAACCGGTGACCGACTACTGTGTCTGGCAGGTGGACGATTTGCCGTTGTCGACATCACCGCCACGCCGAGACCCTTCTCTATCCGACAGCCTCTGGGCACTTACTCCATGTATAACGGAGGGCAACTATGGTTAGTGACTCGTGTTGAGGAGTACTGTTTCGCAATTGCTGGCCTACTCCGGACCCGAGCTAAGGCTCGCACCCAGACCCTAACAAAATTGATAGCAGGGCCACGACAGCTGTGGATGGAGGAATGATCCTCTATCCTAAGCCAGGGGTGTCGCCCATGTCTGGGATCATGTGCAGCCAGGGTGGCCATTTCATGGCCGGACAGATGGCAAGGCTCCTGCTTTGGTAAGTTTGTCTTCGAGATGTTGATACACTCGCACAGTAGGGTTGTTCCTTGGGTTATTCCTTCCACCATCCGACTGACTTTCCCTCCCTTCAACGATGACCTGGGCACCATGCCCACACGGCGTCCGTACTCGTGGAAAAAAATATTCCTTGGGTTATTCCTTGCGTCCACATTTGGGCGAAGCATGGCACCAGTGGACAAATCTTAGGCCTGAGGCAATCAGGTGGTACCTATTTGCCAGGTGTCTCCCATTCGGCTGCACAACATGGGATACTGAATTCCTATTAACGGCTCATACACTTCTTGGGCAACCCTTGCGCTCGTTGGCAACATTAAACTCCAGCGGTGCGGGCTTGCGACTCCCGATCTCTCGGCCGCATTTTGTGCCTGTCTGAAGTCGAGCGGGCTGTCCGGGCTGGTGGCTGCATAACCTGGACAAGAAGTCCTTCCAGGCAAACGAAGATGTGGCCTTGATCTTGTCCGGGCGGAACCAGTTACTCCCCAATGGCCTGTGGCCCACTGCGGTAGCCGCTTCTTCGAGATCACTAGGCCAAAGCCTCGACCATGCCGGAGGAGCATGTGAAAGACACCTGGTACCTCATGTGGCATGTACCAGGTACTGAGGAGGCCCCACCTAGAGTGTCCAGTTTTCCTGCGTCAGCAAAAGCCCCGAAACCAAGTCCGTAACTTTGCCTCTGGATCACTGGCCCAGCAACCCCATCATACTTTTCTGATCGCCTTCAAAAATCGCAGGAGCGTGTCTCCAAACTGAGCAGCTGCCCTGAGGATACCTAGTCTTCCTCACCATCACCATCAGCAGCACCGCCTCCAATGAGAACTGATTTAGAGCAAACTTCGGCCATGAGCAACACACTCAAAACCACATCCACCCGCGCGCCTTCGCCGCGATCACTCTCAGATGAAATGGCATCAGCCTCCTCCACATCATTCGCACCTGGTCTGCCAAGAGCTCCACACACGCAGAAAGCAAACAAACAGTCTAGACCTTCCCCTGCAACGCCAGCTGCAGCGCCAGCTGGCAGATTTGGAGGGGGAGCACCATGACCTGTGAAAGTGACACGCGCATAAACAGCCACAATTCCGGGGATCTTTTCACGCAAAAGACTTTCCGCGCCATCTCCACCACCAGCTGCTACCACCGCAGCTCCACCACCTCCGAGAGTGACACGCGCATAGACAGCCACAATTCCGGGGATCTTTTCACACAGAAGACTTTCCGCGCCATCTCCACCACCAGCTGCGACCACTGCAGCTCCACCACCTCCGGACGCAAATGCCCCATGAGTGAATGCTGGGCCGTCCATCGGGCACCTGGCCTCCTGCTCCCGCTTGGTGCACCAGGAGTAACAGGTCGTCACGGCTGAGTTGCCGGGCAGCCTAGTGCGAAACAGCAGCAACTGTATTCAAATTTCGAAGATGTCCAAGGCGGGCACGTCGTTTTTTCATATTCTTCTCCTGCTTTGCCAATGCACGGTTGGCCGCGCGCATCGCGGCCCGTCGTTGCTTCAAGTCATTCAACTCCTCCGCGAGGACCTCACCAAGGAACCAACATTTTGCGCAACAAGAAGACACCCCACACAAAGCTTAGACCGCCTCCACGCGATTCCTCTTTGGAGGCATGTCCTGATTACAAACGGAAACGGCGCGCGCGTTTCAATTGCTTGGCGTTACAGTCCGGCCTCTGCGCGCGTTCCCACAAAGAAACCGTTTTGAACACACAGAGCTGTGGACAGGCGTGCATGCACTTCTCACTGTGAGGCCTAACCTAATTACTCGGCTGCGCTGTGGGCACCCACATCAACATTGAAATGGGGAAGGGAATGGGCAGGGCGGTGTAGCATTCTTGTAGAGAAGCGCACCGCTGCACAAATCAAGAGTGTACCCAACACAAATCACGAAGAGTGCCTGTGCACTGTACCCAACACAAATCAAGAAGAGTCCCTGCGCACAAAATGAGAAGTGTACCTGTGCACAAATCGAGAAGCGCACGGCTGCACAAATCAAGAGTGTACCATCCACAAATCAAGAAGTGTATCACTGGCAACAAAAATCGAACGCCAAATAGCCGCAAAAACTGTCAAGGTGTGAGCCGCTGATTGCGGAATGGTCCGGTTCGACTGTGGTCACTGAGTTTGACATGGTCAACTTCGAACCTGGGTCTCTGTGTTCTGGATGCCGCAGTTCGCCAAATACCGCGGTCGAGTTGGGCTGCGGTCACTGAATTCGAGGTCAAGTTCCAGTGCGGGTCTCCAAATTCAGGATGGCGCGGTTCGCAAAAGATATTTGGTCATATATTTGCACACTAACATGTTCATACTCTATATGTTTGATTCACGGTTTATGTGACCAAATGTCAAAAAAGTCAGAGGGCAAGATAGCCACGTGAAAGGACAATGTGGCTCACCTTCTCCAGGACGACCAAACGGTCGCACGCAGGATGTTCTGAACAAAAATGACCAATGTGGACACTGAGTTGGAGACGGTCACGTTTGCACACCAAACTGCAAATCTTAGCGGCGCCTAAAACAGGTGTAAGGCGCATAACTATGTGCGTGAACAGCGACACACCATGTCAAAACATGGAGGAACAGCAGTTTGGCTTGCTAACACCCACAAACAGAAACACATTCGTAAAGTTGCGTCCGCCCTTTCAATGGAAGCCTGGGCTCCCCTCTCAAGCAAATGCCTATGCCTACGCGGGATGCCTACGCAGGGTACTGTCACCAACTTTAGTCACATCAGGTGACTCGAAAAGAGCTATATAATCCGCAAGTAGTGGCCCGATGCGACTGGGTCACATCAGGTTCCTGTTTATCTTTCCCCAAGACCCTTGAACAACTTTTAAAGAAGTCTGAATAAGAAAATTCAGGCTTTCATGAAAAGGGTGCCTACGCAAGACTGCCTACGCAAATCTTTCAACACCCACCTACGCAAAATGCTTACACGACGCCTACGCCCCAAGCAGAACAGCCTCCGCGACTTCTCAACAGTTCCCTTTTTGTATAAACCTAATCATTTGCAAAAAAAACGTGGCTCATATGGCCAAAGACATCCTCATCTTCCGGCTCCTGACAGATGGACTAATTCCATTGAAAGGCCGATTTCAAGTTTCAAGTTTCTGCTGCAAAATTCCATGGAATTAAATCGTAACATGTTCCACACATGGCCGCACCTGCAACATCTCATCGGAAGCTGGCAGTGGCAGCACCGCCGAAGAGGAACTGGTCAAAGAAGCACTGTTCTTACGAAGATCAGAACCGACCTCAACAAACCACATCCTCCGCTCAATCGCCACCAAGTGTTCCTCATGCCGGGCTTCGTCGGGCAGGAACCCACGCTTGTCCCAATTGGTCGTGAAGCACCGCATGCCCGGAGGCAACATACCATCCTCGTGTCGGCAGGACGCAAACCTGCAAACGGTGTTGTCCAGCCAGGACTTGGCGTCATCAACCGAAGCAGATCGGAGGCATACATCGTCAACCAAAAGAGATGTCGTGCTTTGAAACAAACATCGCTTGACCACATCCAGCTTGTCCAAAAAATAGTAAGCACCGTGTTCCGCCAGCAGGGCGGCGCACAGAGCCGTCTTGCCACAGTTCCCAGGCCCACTGAGAACCAGTGCGCGATCCAATCGGTGTTTGTCACGCCATTCCTGGAGACCGGGAGGAA